GAGTCCAGCCAAGTTTAGTTTCTATAGCAGCAAGGCCTGGAGTAAGCATTTAAATCCTCTGGTCATCAACTTACCTGCAATGTCAGCGCCGGTAAGTATTTCTATTGGTCCATTACTATGGTCGCATACGGAAATATTGTATTCTTTAAGCTCTCGAATCCATTCGCATTTAGCAACTGGTGATATACTTCCACAAATACTTTCTTGGCTAAAGAGCTTTGAAGTTACAATGATAAGTTCCATCCGTTTTAGACAAGAACACTGTAAAAACATTCGTGGTTTATGACATCAGTACATGACCCGCTAAATAATAAATGGCTCAATCTTTTCTTTAGATGTACTCTCAAATTTCATTTCAGATAGTCCTCGAGGCTTTGCCATAATCACACACACACAAATTTCATTTCATCTGCAGTGCTTTTTAATATATAAGATCTTTGTGAAGCTGAATCGATAATAGCACGGAGTCTGGCGCTTTCTATCTCGCCCCTACAATGTAACCGTTAAAGTTTGCAAAAACACATTTGTTGTTCTCGCCAAATTGATGAGGGTTTCATCTCGTTCAGGTACTGCATCCGTATTTTCATCCTTATTCATGCTAACAGGAACTGGAGATTTTGATTCAAGTTGGATATTTCTACATACTTGGATATTTCAAAAGTATGGGGTGTTTCTTTCCACAAATCACACATGATGTTCGTTTTTTACATTTAGCTATTACATGTTTTCTGTCTAAACATAAAAAGCAACTGCGACTATTTAGAACTGCTTTTTGCCTTTCCTCAGACGTCATCTTTCTTGCTTTAACGCAATCATCAGATGCATGATTTCCAGCACAAAAAATACATCCAGTTAAATTTTATTCAGATGTTCATACCTGCCAACTTTTACGAATTTTTCGTAATTTTTACGAAAATGCGTTTGTCTTTACGATTTTATGATCGTAATCCATTTTTTACGATTTTTTTCCTTTTCAAGTGTTTTTAGTGATTTTTGCCGAAATTTTAGAATTTTTCGACAATTCAGGGATTTTCGCCAATTGCATCGTGTTTTACCGCCAACTACCGACTACTTCGAATCCAGTAACCTGCGGTTTCTCCCAACTCGCCGCTTAACCAGCCAATCCAATGCGCTGAACTTGTTTCTCCCACTCTTTTCTTTGTGGGCGCTAGATTATTTTTTTTCGCGTTATCTTATAATTGGAAATCAAACCAGGGAACTTGTAAATTCTTTGAAAGATCACGCATGAGAAAAAGAATTTTTTCAATATGTTAGAAAGTACTTTTCCTCAGCCTGTGATTACATTGTAAGGAAGTTTCCTTTGCAAAATGAAGTTCTTTTAAATGCTGAAGTGGCAAATTTGAAACAAATTGAAAATTCATCTTTTGAAAAGATTTGTTTTTTTATTGATAAATTTCCATTTTTGGTAACAATTAAAGAAAATGAATGCCATAATGATGCTTTAGATGAACTACAGAACCAATTTTCTGCTGCACAATTTGAAGACTTGCCAGTTCTGGAGAAGATAGACTTGATGTCCTCGTTGGTACCTGAAAAAGAATAAAAAGAGCTGATGGAACACCAAAATATGATTGACTAGCAAGAGTTTTATGTGCTATTCTTGTAATTCCACACAGTAATGCTGAGTGCGAGAGTCTTCAGTGTTGTGAAGAAAATCAAAACTATGTTTCGTTCTTCATTTTCACCAAAAACTCTAGAAAACATTTTAATTGCTGAATGTTATGAGGAAACTAATTGTTATGACAGGAAAAGCCAAAAAATGCTCTCTAAATTCATTGCAATAATTTTTTTTTGTAACATTAAGTTCTTGTTTTATGTTTCCTAATAAATTTTTTAGTTACTACTTAATTGAGATTTACTAATGTAAGTACAAATTTCTTTTTCCTATTTGTATAAATTGTTATTTTTTTAATATCAAAGCATGATATTAATTCTTCGTGTTCTTCTGAATTTTGGACAAATCTTCTGAATTTGGGGGAGAAATCTGAGTTTTTATCTTTAGAGGTTGGCAGGTATGGATGTTGCTATTAGAGTAGAAGCAGAAGGTGTTTTAGAAAATTCTCCACAGTTTTTGAAACCAAAGTGTTTAGCATTCCCAGACATAGGAGTCTGATATTTATTAAAGCACTGAGTAGCTATAGATACTATCTCTTCACCTTCAATTTCATCGAGCAAAAATGAAAGCAAACCATCTAAATCCATGCAATGTGTTAATGCATTTTTTCTTTTTGCTCACTGCTTTCAGATTTTCTCTGACTGTGATTAATAACTCAGAATCTTTGCCATGCTCTTAATGTATCATCTGGCAATGACGATTCGACTAGAGGATATAACATCGCCGCATATTTATCTCTAGCAACACCCAGAACTTCTAACGCTCTAAGTTTTGATTCTAAGTTATCATAGAGTTTTCGTAATGAAAATTTCTGCTGAGAGTTTTTTAATAATACTAACGAAAGTAGATCTCTAACATACACTTCTATAAGAAAGTCTTCTTTCCCAAAATGCGATTGCAGCTGTTGTAAGGCTTTACTATAACTTTCACCACCGGGCGGAAAGCTTTTGATTAACTCTTCAGCAGATGACCTTTTTTCCATAGACTGCAATAAATATGCAAATTTATCTTGATCATCTAAATTGGGATCATTATCGATCTTTTTAAACTGGCACCAAAATCCTAACCAGCTTTTAATATTCCCATCAAAAATCGGAAGTTTAAGCTTAATATAACATACAGTAGTAGCATTTTGAGTTAAGCTTTCATTAATAACAGAACCGTTTTCCTTTTCAGCTAGAAGCGAAACTAATTTGCTTTCTACCATTCTCTGCTTATCAATATAGCATTCTGACTCATCAAACTCATTTATCACAGTTTCATCTTTTTCAATTTTAATCAATTCTTCTCTATAAGTCTGTTCTATTTCAATCATGGGTTTCGCTTTGTTCTCAACTAATTTAAATTTCGAAATTTTTCCGTCTAAAGATAAATCATTTTCATTCTTCTCAAAATCATTTAAAGCTTTTGTAAACAATCTCCTAAATTGAGATTGTTTGCACTTCAAAACATCCATTATAAATAAAGGAAAGAATTCTACTTGCAGATAAGAGTCCTTCCAGCAGACGCCAAATGTTCAAAAATTCTCACCAAATTTGTTACCTCAAGAATTATTTATTACTCGGAAATAACTATCTATATCTCTTTAGTTATTTATGACTCTACAATAATTAAATAATTCCTTTACTCATACTCTCAAATGATGAAAACAAAAGTTACACTAACTCTCTAAAAAGAAGAACAAAAACATAGTATATTGCCATTCTCTGAAACATAAACTGTTACAAAACATGGATAATAATAATATGAATAGATAATGAATAAAAAAAAACCTATAGAGTAAAGAAAAGGATTACATCTGCTTGAAGCTCGTGCAATATTACTCAGAAGCTGCAGTTAGAAAAAATATAAACAAAAAATATTAGAGTTAAAATATTGTTCAAATTTCATGCAGTCAACATGGAATTCTTTTCTCTCATGATTTCCCAAGAAAATTTTTGTTTATTTCTTGTATAAATGAATATGCATGTAAAAGCAATGTTTATGATGTAAATGTTACCAACAAAGTTTGAAATCTGGCATTCTATAGAATGCCTAACACTCGCCGGTAAGGTATGAAACAATTCCTATTTCACACATTTCCTAGGCATTCTATAGAATGCCAAATGACAAACCAGCAAAGTATAAAATACATTTTCGATTTGTTTTGAAGAACCCAACTACTTAGCAGAAGTTAATAAATGATGTAAAAAGGCCGAAATGACTACTGAGAAGGATCCAAGTGACTAGTGTTTGTGCAAAACAAAATTACATTCATTTATCCTGTTAAAGAAAGCATCAGCACTATACAGTATATTATGTCATGGATGCTGAATTATTTCCCTTCTACCCCTTGAGTACTTCATGAAAACTCATTTGGCATCAAGTACTGCACATGGACAACGTGACAAAATGTTGAAAGAACTTTCAACCAAATAAATAAAACGTTGCACATAATGATATTGTACTGTACAACCATTTTTGTGAGCCCTGCCAGAAAAAAATAAAAAAGTATTAAAAAGGGCATTGTTGTGAAACTTGAGATTGTTTCTGAATTTAATTTCCGTTGTCAGGTAGAGCTTACTGATTCCCCATCTCAGCCAGCTAGAAAATACAAATTTATTATATTGTATTAAGATCATCTCGCAATACTTTTTTTTACGTATTTCGAATAAAAGTTTTTTAATGGCACCATTTCAGTAGTTTTTCAAAATAACATTTGTATTTTTGAAGAAAGATTATCTTTTAAATAATAGCCATATTCATAAGTTTTTTTTATACTTTGCCTATAGAGAATTTGTCATTCTACAGAATGCCTAGGGAAAGTATGTTTTAATTCTCATATTTCATACTTTGCCTAAAATGGTCCAGCGTTATATACAATGCCTAGGCATTCTATAGAATGCTGGTGTTTCGTACTTTGCTGGTAACATATATCTGTGGTTCTTGTAAAGGAAGGTTGACTTTATAAGTGAATATATATATTTTATATTGTTACACATTTGTTCAAATGTTTTAGTCTGAAAAAGAAACTTGCTTCTCCCCCCTCTAAATGTATATTTGAAAATTTTCTTTTATTTATTGTTAATATTCTACTTCTTAGAATTGCCCTTCTTTTTTCAGCTAATTTGATTAGAATTTATTATAATCCTGAACCTCATAAGATTAAACTTTTTTTTATCATATTTTCTTACTAATTAATACTTAAAACATTCTAAACAATAGCATTTATATGAACTATTCACAATTTTCTGTGTTTTTAAGATATTAGATTTAGTTATATATCTGAAATATTTTCTTATTTTTTTTAATTTTTATTAATTTATATATTTATTTATTGTTAATTCCCTTTACTAAGTTCTTTTGGTGTTATTTTCTCTTACAGCCACTTCATTTGATTATTATGGTGAGTTATTTTGTCTCTTAATTAATCCTATTTTTTTTAATTAATTGTTGGTCATAATTTTTTTGTAATATGTTGCAAACAGGGAATTTAAAAATATGTAACAAGAAATTTCAATTGGCTTGTGTGCATACTTTGTTTTTTTATGTTTAGTTGTGCGAATAATATAAGTTTCGTAATTTTTAATGAAAATTCTATACTTGCAGTTTTCAAATAATTTCATTTTCTCTTTGATTTGCACATTATTTTGATTTAATATATGTTCTAGTTCTTTTCCCATATTATTTCGATTTAATATATGTTCTAATTTTTTCCCATATTATTTTAATTTATGTTCTTATACTTTTTCAGCATGTATATTTTTAAAGAAAATCTGCTGATATAAATTTTCTTCAGTATTTTAATTCAACTGTAATATCACATTTATCATTATGAATCATTTTCATTATTATTTTCTAAAATTAATTTTTTTGTTATTGTTTAATGGTGTTTTGTAGTTCTTCATATTTACAGAAAAACAAAATGTTTAATAATTATTCATTTTATTTTTGACAGTATGTCATTATTTAACAAATGGATACTCTTGCTTTCATTTTATTTTATGTTTATTTCTTAAAAAAATTACGTAATACCTATTCACTGGGCTTCTTTTTAAAATATACAAGTTTTAAAAATTTAATATTTAAAATTTTGTTAATTTGGTCTAAAAATGTATGAATACTTTAATTGTTGCTAATTTGATTTTTAGAATTGATATAACCATATCCTAAATTTGACATAATTGTAGATCTGCTTTGATTCCCAACACTGTGTTAAATAAAAAAGACAATATAAAAAATAGGTAATAAAATTATACAGTCAAAAGTCGTTAATTCGGACACCCATAATCCGAAATGATCTATAATCCGGACCTCAAAGCTACAAACTTTCTGCGCATGCGTCGCGTAAGACCTTTACGGCTGCGAATATGCGTGTCTGCGTGCGCAAAATACGTTTACGAATGCGCGTTTAATGTATAACGGATGGTATAAGCTAAGCTAAAATTATCTAATTCAGTTAATGTTGCAGATTGCGTTGTTCCTTAATCTTTGAATTGGATTCGGCTTATTATTTTTTGCAGACTGTTAGAGCAATTTTATAAAAGTAAGCTTGAACTTTCGATTATGTCAAATAGAATTTCTGATATATTTACTAATATGTAAAGGATCTACAAAGCAAAGTATGTTTCGAAGTCCATTAAACAAAAAGTGGAATTGCTGCAAAAAATGGATAAAGGCATATCCTTTGTTTATCTAAACTTTGTTTATCTTTAACGCTGCAGGCACGCAATGAATTTGAAGTTGATCTGTCAGCACTATCCTTATCTTCAGGGCAGATGTTTTTATTTTATTTGGCTTATAATTCCTTACTAAATGTAGTATTTCATCTCGATGTACTCCATCTTTGATATGATTCAAACCAAATTCCTCGTCATTATAATTCGCTTTCGATAGCGAAGAAAGTGACAGAGGTTATTGAAAACGAAAAAATTTCGATTGACAAATTAGTCGGTATTCTCGACACAGCAATTATAGGACTTGAACAGCGGAACTTTGTAACTGAACAAGAAATTATGTCTGTTTATAGAATTAAAGAGAATGTATTATCACATAAAAAACGAAGCAACTTAAACAACTTACATTGAAAGAAATATTTAAAATAAAGTAAACAAATAAATATTAAGCTTTTTTTTTTTGTAAATTTTACCCTTTAGATCATAATTGTTTTTTATTTCATAAATTATGGTTTCATATTTTTAATTTTATAATTTCTGCATGTCATCTTACCAGATTTAAACTGATGATCTATAATCCGGAAAAATCGATAATCCGGAATCGCCGAAGTCCTGACGAGTCCGGATTAACGACTTTTGACTGTATTGATATGTGTCACCATGGGTGGGATATTTTTTGATACAAAGTACAAAAATAATGTGGGGTAAGCATAAGTAATAAAGTTTTAATTCTTTCATTGTATTATTTCTAGACATTCTGCAGTCTTCTGTTTCTATTTAAAATCACTAACACAGTTTCCTCATGTTAACATCATGGGTGTTATGCAAGAATCATATGACATGGGTTAGTTTTGAAATAACACTTTTATAAGCAATTATTGTTTTTACCACAGAAAGGGGAAATAAAATGGTTAATGGCAATTTAAAATTAATATTTTAATTTAAATGATTTTTTTAAATTTTAAATGCATACATATAAATAGTTTAAACAAAGTAAATGTGTGATGGCATAATTAAATCTGTAGAATAATGGCTCTGAAATTCTACAATAAAATACTATATACCTCAACTAAAATTTTGGGTATATTTTTTTTTTTTCTCATTTGTATGTATTTTTTAATGACCTGCTGACAGATGTGTAAATTGAGCTATACTATATGGAATTTTATAAGTATTGGTAAAAGTTTTTTTTAATAAATAAAATTTATCTTATATGTTAAAATTATACCTTTTTTAATTAATCATGTACATAGATGACGTAGTTTTTAATGCGTCATTGTTTTATAAAAATCGCCTAACTTACAAACAAGCATTGTTGTATTAAAAAAAAGGCTGTTTTAATATATTATAATGACATATATGCCATAATCATAGTGCAAAATAAATATTTCTAAGCAAATTTTTACAAGTTAGAATCTGAAATGGAAAATTTAAACTTATGCACTGCAGTAATG